CTCGTTTTTTTAATTTCCAAAATTAAAAAGCGTATTCATACACTACACAGATACTGGATGCTACTCAGGCCTGTGCGTAACTCAGGGTCGACGGCCTGCTACAGCTGCTCGCAGTTTGTGAAAGCTTAGCAATAGCATCGCCAACGTGTATCTCAAAATCCACTACATATGCTTTTGGCATCTTTGATGATACAACGCATTTTAAAACCCAGACTGGAACGCACCAAGCAGACCGGTGCGATCATGCGAACAGTCGCTTGCCCTATGACATACTAGCCCTCAAATTTTGGGAAGCTGATTGTGTGGTATGTGGCATGTCAGTTGCAGATGTCGACTTCAGTGACTCGACAAATAGAAAGGTATTGGTCTGCGAAAAAGGCGGCAGCGGAAGAATTAAATCTGATATCTTTTAGTCGCAGATGGGTAGGGGACATTCCCTTAAAATTAAAGTTTTCCAGCTTTTTTCGTTCCCAAGTTGGCAGTTTTCCCATCAAAATTTTCACGTGTCCGTATGTGAGTACTGAACGGTTCTTAGGAGCTGAATTTGAAATCTTTTGGTCGTACGTGAATGAGAAACAGTCCCCAAAATTTTCAACTCATTCCCGAGTTATGAATTTTTTCGCCATAATTTTCACGTGCCCATACATGATTCCCGAACAGTCCTGGGCAGCTGAATTTGAAACCTTTTTGTTACACATGAATAAAGAACACTCCCCCAAGATTTCAACTTCTTAGCTTTTCTCGTCCCGCCAAAACTTTTAAACGGTCGTGCGCGAGGCCCAGACATGCGTACGGGTTGATACCGCGGTCCTCGGGTGGTACTTGTCTGGAAAACACATTAGCAAAATTTCAGCTTCAAAGCTTGGATGGTTAGCGAGTTGAAATACCCGGACAGGAGAACACACACAAACACACAAACACACATACACGCACATATACACGCACACTGACAGGATCGTTGCAATATGCGTTTTTGCTGCCTGTTGCAACGCTCTAGCGTTGCACGGCAAAAACGCATCAAAAAGCGTGTTTGCAAAACATCCCCATAAAACTTTCATAAACTTTTAATTAAAGCAGTATATTTTATTCAGATTGAACATTAGTTTAATGCTATTCTCAGTATGACAACATGAACTGCATCGCAGAGATGCAGCGGTGGATCACTTGGCTCGTAGACTGATGAAGATGGCAAGTAACTACAGTAAATAGTGCGAACTGCAGACAAACTGAGCACTAAAATTTCGAACGAATATTGTACCATTGGCTCACTCCCACTGATATGCCTGGCTACGGGTTAATTTGAACAAAAATAAGAGAATGCTCATGGTTGTGCACAGCCTCGCTTCTTCGCGATGCAATGTTATGTTGGGAATACTGTGTCAGCTTTTCGTGTTTTGTGTCATTTGTCATGAATCAATTTTTTTTTTAATTTTTTGAATAACGACAGCATTGTTTAGCAACTTTTCTTCGGGAAAGCTGCATTGAAATTAAAAGAGTCAGGTTGCTGAGTTGCACCTGCACTTTATCATCTCGATACTTGAAGGATAACGTGACATTGCCTCGAACACCGCCTGCGACACATGCATACACGCCAGCATCCTCCATCCGAGCGTGGAAGATGCGCAGTGCTCCGTTCGATGACACTTTTATATGAGCTACAAAACAGTTCATGTCAGAAACTTTTTTGCTACTAATATTAGTAGTGATATTTTGCAGCAAAGTTTTTTAGCATTATGAACGAACACATAAAAAACTGAATACGCAAAAACGCATAAAAATCAATACGACGGACGGTTTCAGTTCATAAAGTCAAATGCTTCCCAGTACTTCGCTTTCATAAGAATAATGATGAGATAGGGGATCGCGGGAGGAAAAGAAGGGGGAAATGGAAAAGATCTTCAGTGGGGCGGATAGGCGAAACTTTCGGAGGCAGTCTGAGTGATAGCGCACAGCAATAGCATTCCAGAGCTACAGTAAAACGGTTGATAACTGTTTGCGCAAAGAATATTAAACATTAAGAAAACTCTTCGTATAGGCGCTGTAAAATGAGCAAGATATCTTGGACTCTTTGGAAAATCAACGTAGAAGTCTGGTGCCACCGAGAACTGTACGATATTCTCAGAACTAAAACACTTCAAACTGGTTCTTTGCTCCTTGGCTACATTTTTTGAGATAGAAAAATGAACTAACCATTGTTTGTAATTTTCTTGCCATCTTTGGTCCAAATAATTTTGCTCTTTGTGTAATTACGCACTGGACACTTTACCTGAGAAAAATTAACTTTACTATTACATGATCTCAAAACATGTTCTGATAGAAAAGAAAGATGTGACATACGAGTAGAAGGTGGGTACCAGCCCAGAGTCAGCAGCTCAGGAACGAAAATCTCATCAAATTATGTCCAAAATGTGACTTCTCGGTAACATCACTAATATAGGATGTTCAGCTTTGAAGATTTGGTAATCGAAATGGTATTTGCAAGCTCCTCTCTTACAGTGTCATAAAATCTCAATAAATGCAGAGAGCTAGCTTCTAATTCGTTGCAGACCAGAAATTTAAGATATGTGAGAGATCTAAATGTCACTTCTGGGCATTTTCAGTAAATTATCTGGATTCGACTATCTGTTTCTCTTCACTGCGGGCTAGCAGTGCTAAACCAATGCATATGTTTATACACAGACGATTTTAAAGCTCCCATCCTCCTCCAAACCCCCGACCACGGGTATTCACTATTTATATCTCCAAAATTTCTATACCGCTTAAAACTATTCAAACTTCCATTCTTCCCATTTCTGTATTTTTCTCTGCCTGAGATGCCACGCTGCTCAGATCAGCTAAATATCATTTAGGTTTCTTTAAGTAATTTGGCCCTTTTGTGAACCAATTTTTTCAATTCGGATGTCACCTGTAGCACCGGCAATAGCCGATTCATTTCAAACTGAGCTGCCGGAATGGTTTCGTTATAACCAGAATTTAACACTGTAAAAATAAACAATCTACCTTAAGTGATGTTCCAACGAATAATTTCGCGTTACCACCAATATTAAGTGTCAGCTTTCGATTCTGTTCGCGGTGCTGAATAAACGATGGAGCAGAAGGATATGATGGTTCGCTTCTGTCCTGAAGCACTGAGTTACTGATACTATCGCATGTTCCTGAAAATTTCATTATCTTTTTTAGCAACAACCTTCAAATAAAGAGAAAAATTTCTTTCTGCTAAATATGCTTGTTAATTCGCTGCGCGTTAATCCTAGTACGTATATCTAACCGTACATTTCGATTTCCAAATCTACAAAAGCTGAAAGTTTGACAACTTATTTAAAATATCGACCAGGAAGCAAACATATGAAGTGAATTTTTAATAAATTTATGTGCCATTTTCCCTTTCCCGAGACAAACAGTGGATATCAAAAATAACCGCAATCAAAGCAGCGGTATACTTACTCCATTCAAGTGTAGATATAGAGCTTCGAAACTGATACTGCCTCAGCTAATGACCTCTTTCCCTCTTTTTTCTTTTTCCGCTCATCCTCTCACATTCTTCAGTCCCCCTTCCACCGCCACACTTCTGTTTTGCTTCAATCTCGCCACATTCTCTTTTTCCCGGGCAGTCTGCTATCACGAGCGAGAATCTAGTTTTTTGCATCGTAGCATTTTTTACCCCTTCCTTTCACCCCATCCCCTTCATCCACCTGCTCCCGTAATCATACCTGACTTCGGTGCAGTTTGCTCAAATTCCTGGCTTGTGTCGCTTGACATAGTATCACCCCAGATAATTTATTAACAGTCGAATGATTTTGGCGCCGTCTAAACCCACCCCGTTGTACGGGTCACAATGCTAGTTAGGAAGTATCAGGTGTCCCCCAAATTCTTGCATCACTTTCCGCTCTTCAACAACTTATCACCATTGCTGAAAATTTTCTAAAACAGAAAGCAACGAAAATTTGAAACTGCTTGGGAAAAATTATGGATATCCGTACCCAGATCGCAAAGCTGTACAGTAGGCGGCTTTTCTATATGTCGGCACTGCACGGGTGGATAGAACTGCTTCACGTCGCCGCTTGCAACGCGTTGTTCACACGTCACTTCCCGACGCTGCTCTCCAGGGCCGCAGCTTGTCGAGCACTGTGTCCAGTCGCCAATCTAAATTTTGAATATTATTATTCTT